CCCTTGATCATCTCACAATTTGCAACAGCTTGAAAATTGGAACTGTAATTGATTGCAGAATTGTCACCGAATGGACAGATACGAAGAGGAGCTCTGACGTCAGAACAGCCGTACCCTTCCGACAACATCTGTGCGATTGCTGGCTGACGCAGGGGTTCGAACTAGGAGCACTTTCGAATTTCAAGCACAAATGAAAATGAATGAACAGAGCCATCAAACCAGACTTGGTACACTTGCTGGATATGCCACAGGACCAGACCAATCGAATTCGTTTGTCGCCGAGTTTTGGATGGAATTTATGGAGATGCGGCTTTGATCATGATTAGCACCTTTACTCTCACCTCGTAAAGAGTAATTTAAATTATTAATTGTATATTCATTATAAGAATACGATATTTTATCGCGTTCTTATAATGAATATACAATTAAATAATCAAAATAAATACAATTAGATATAAATAAAGAAAAATCAAACGTAGATAATATAATATAAACTTAGAGAATCTAGATAGATGAATCTAAATAGATTTATCTGTCTGTGCTAAGTTGCTAACTAATCTAATAAATATATAATAATATAAAGCTTAGTAGGGTCGTAACGCGTCTTCTACGATACGTTGGCTGAGTGTGCATGGCAGCATGAGGAAAATGAAAAATGCTGTCATAAGCCCGACAATACTGTGAAAGTCGAGGTGTACCTTCTTTAATGGGCTGTTATTTGTAGTACTCTGGGAGGCGTTTCTGAGTTCGAAATTGTGAATGAATAACTGGATAACTGGATGTGATGTGAATTGGTGTAAGTACTGGTGTGTGCCAATGCTGCACAATCGGATATCTGGATTGTTTGGAGTAGACACATTGTCTCTGTGTGTGTTTGAGTGGAAGAATACCCCCCCCCGCCCTTCCCCCTTGCATGTACTGCTGATCGAAACCATTGCTTATACAATTTCAACTGGTTCGCGCAGAGCACTTCAAAAACAAAGTACGAATATGTGTGTCGTTGCTCGAAGGAATGGCCACGTTTTTCTTTAGAGACCGCCCGCTGAGGTGGCCGTCGCGACCAAAGAACCAAAACAGATGTTGAAGTAAAACACAGGGTCTCCGCCTGGGGAAGAAACCGAAATAGTACAAGCCAAAATTTCAGTTCCGTTCCCTACCCCCCCTCCCCCATACACACCAGGGCCAGTGTTGTAGGGGTGGGGGGGTGGGGGGGGGGAGAGGGAAAGCAGGGGTGTAGAATTGCGGACGATGAGTTCATAAGTGTGTGTCTCACTTAGCCACTTCGGTGAATGGACGTCTGTGGTGCGCAAGTTGATTTTTGTTAAGTAATGATTGCCTGTCTTCCTGAGCTGGAGGTGTCGCTTCAGTCGATGCCTAGAATTGTGAGCACGGAGGAGGGGCACTGTCGTGATCGATTTTTTTTGGCAGCAGCAAGGAACGAAGTATTGACTCCTTGAGTCGCTGCTGTGGCATTCCGCCGTCGGTTGCGTATCGTGTGTTTTGCGCCTTGGCAGGAAGATGCGCCAAGCGAAATCGCGGTTGCCGGAGGATGATGGTGACAGCGACGGTGACGAACCGCTCGATCTCCTCGATGCAAGTCGTGCCAGGAAGGCGCTGATGGCCGGATCTCATGCTTCGCAGAAGGAAACTCAGGAGCAGGATGACGTCAAGTACGCGCCTGACGGAAGGATGGTCATCGATGAGAAAGAAGACCGGAAGGAGAAAAAGCGGAAGCGTGGCGACGTGGCTGGAGAAGGCAGTGATGGTGACGAGGATGGAGCCAGTCGAGGAGGCAAGAGCAGCAGCAAGTGGGGAAAGAAGTCGTCCAAGGATCGCGCAGGAAAACACGGCAAGAAAAAACGCGCGCATACAGGGGAAGAGTACAAACCGCAAAGGGGAGCTGGAGGTGATGCTAAGGGGAACAAGAAAGTGGAACCGTACGCGTACTGGCCTCTCGATAGGAAACTCCTCAATCGGCGAGAAGGCAAAAGAGTGGCTGCAAGGAAGGGGATGGCTGGAGTGATGAAAGTTAAAAAGGGCAAGACAGGTATGGCGAAGCGACAAAAAATTGGTCGAAAATGATTTGATCGATCGATTGATTGATCGATTGATCGGGCGATTGATTGCTTGCTTGATGGATGGATGGATGGATGACAGCGTCCTCTGCTACATTTATCACCATTCGAGACTTTCCGTCGTTTTGTCAGAACGCTCTTGCCAAGGTGTGTGTTATTGATTCCGTCGCATCCGTCAGAGATTGTTTTTACTTTTTTTTTTTGTGTAAGCTCTCAGCTCATTTACATGAGGATGATTGTTTGCTTGTTTGTTACAAGAGAGAGAGAGAGAGAGAGAGAGAGAGAGAGAGAGAGAGAGAGAGAGAGAGAGAGAGAGAGAGAGAGAGAGAGAGAAGGACGTGTGGTGCGCACACTGTTGAGGCAATGAAGGACGTGTGGTGCGCACACTGTTGAGGCAATGTCGGGTCAGTGTTTAGTAGAGAGAGAGAGAGAGAGAGAGAGAGAGAGAGAGAGAGAGAGAGAGAGAGAGAGAGAGGGAAGGACGTGTGATGCGCACAATGTTGAGGCAATGTCGGGTCAGTGTTTAGTAGTGTCGACCCTCGGCAGTCGGATTTTGTTTTCCGTGTGGTGAGTGAGCGAGTGTTGGGGGAAATCAACGTCTCTCTCAGCGAGACGGAAGCGAAGCGGGTGGAGCTTTGACTGGAGCAGCAGCTAAGGCAGAAAAAAAGTGTATTGGAACTTTGTAGCTTCGGTAAAAAATTATGAGCCAAGTGGACCTTGTCTTCGAAGTGGTCTTCTTCTTTTCTGTTTGGTAAGCGGGGTGTGGCGGGTGGCCGGTGTAAAGGGGGGTTGGGGGGGCCAGCCAACTCAGGTGGTTCAGGCGGGTCGGGCGTGATTGTTTCCACACCTCATGCATGATTGATGATGACGTTCACGGTGGTAACTGACTTACTGGATTTTTGCCTTACTTCGAAGGACATACGAGTAATAATTTACTAAATTTAGTAATTAGTTGCGGGTAACAAAAACAAAGAGGGGTTTCAGATAAGATTATGCAAAACAGTGTTTACTGATTTACTGGATAATAATGAAATTGTTGAATTTGACTAGGCTACCAGCTGGGCCGCCCGGGTCACCCTGCTTTCCTGGGCGGCCCGCCCGTGCAAGGACCAGGGAAGGTGGCAGGGGAAAAAAAAAGAACGAAAAAAAAAAAACGAAAAAAAAAATGTTATGCAGAAAAAATAAACTGAACCACTTTTGCCTCATGGTCACATGGGAAATTCCTCACCAAATTTTAAATAAGGACTTAAAAAAAATGAAATAGAAAATAATTAGTTTCTTTGTGTTTTTATTTGTTTTTGGACCAGCCGGGCAAGTGGTCCCGGGCCACTCTGGTAGCCTATGAATTTGATCAATTTTAATGACTATATAGTATATATAAAAAATAAATGAACTCCTTGTTGTTGATCGTTGCAGAGATCGCTGACTAAAAGGGGGTATGGGACGGCAGCCCGCATCACCTACGTAGGGCATACTTTTTTAGATGTATCTGGCCGCAATTGCAGCTAACTTGGGATGTATCCGACCTCAATTGTGTCAGCTGCAGCAGTCAAGACTCAACCAACCCTAATAGAATGAATGCCTGGACTCTGCTAGATGCCAGACCTATGTAGCGGCCACGTAGGGCATACTCACAGTAGGACTTTTTTTAGATGTATCCGACTGCAATTATGGCCGACTGCGTACGTATTTGACTGCACTTATGTCCACAGGTGAACCGAAAAAGTCCTTGTGTGAGTATATGCTGTTACTCTTTGGTCAGTGTCCGGTGTCAAGAAGGTCGGCTGCAATATAGACTATCTGTATCTTGTGAACGTGCCATTAAAAGGGTCTGCTTTGTTCCGTAGCGTCTTAACCCGGATAGAACGCACGGTCAGTGTTGGTGTATTTAGATGGACTATTGGCCCAAATACAGCTATATAACGACCGGCTGTTCTATTCAGGTGAAGACGATAGGTAACGGTTATTCCAGGCACTTACTGCAGTCTACATTTGAGCGAAAGCCAAGGTTCAGCATGCTGTCTTCCTCCTCGGATTTTTTTTTTTTCCCTTCGGGGGGTGGCCGGGGGGAGGGTTTGCGCCCATCATTTCTGTCGTCTTCGGGAACTTCTGTTTTTTTTTGGAGCCTCGTCTGACCGGGTCCGGTACCGCACAGTTTTAACTCGTCCGGGTAAAGGCGAGAGCACATTCGACAATCGCAACAACTAGAGTGAAAAGGAGAAAGCAGGGGGCTTGTGCGTGAGGGGGCCGGGGAAGGTAACACAGTGCAACACAGATAACTAGTTGCGGACGATGATTGCCAGCTGGGGTACACGTGGCCTGATAGCTGCAGCTGCGCCTGAACAACTAGAAGTCACGTGGCCTGATAATATTTGCTTTCCGCAAGTTTGCGGAGGGTGCCGCCCATGTGTACCCCAGCTGGCAATCATCGTCCGCCGAGCTGCAGGCTCCACCGAGGGCAAGATGGGCATCGCAAAGATACTCTCTCTCTCTCTCTCTCTCTCTCTCTCTCTCTCTCTCTCTCTCTCTCTCTCTCTCTCTCTCTCTNTCTCTCTCTCTCTCTCTCTCTCTCTCTCTCTCTCTCTCTCTCTCTCTCTCTCTCTCTCTCTCTCTCTCTCTCTCTCTCTCCCCCACACACACACAGACATGCGCGCGCGTGTGTGTGCGCGTAAACCAAATCAAGAACCCCAGAGTGGGTCAAATGCGTACTGGGCAGACTTTCAGGACTCAACCTTCGGATGATGAGTCGGTGAGAAAGTTGAACAAAATGGTCTGGCACGGTTAGTTTTCTTTGTTTTTTTTTTTACTTTTGTGGATTTGTCTATAGGGAACATGACACCATACACACACGAAACGTACATAGGCATGCACATGTATCACTTCTTTATTTTTCAGTCTCAGAAGAGGGCAAAGAACGACATTCCATGGCCTAATTTGCAATTGAAGCTATATGATGATCATGATCCACTGGGGCAAGGTGATGTCTTTTTTTTGTGGCAAGATGGAGGTGATGGAGGTCTAACCTTTCAAAAAAAAAAAAAAAAAAAGAGATGGAGGTCTAAGTCGGTGGTGCGGGATTGGGCTTGTGACTGAGCCTCAAGGCTGGCGCAACAAGGGCATATGAAATTTGAGATGCTTGCTGCCTTGCCTTTAAGCTATACTAAGTCGTTTATTGTCTTACAGGCTCATAAATTTTCCTGAAATTTGCAATGAAGTGTTGTGCAATACCGTGAAGTACAGGGGCCGCCGTGAATGGGCATGAAGTGCTGTGAATACTGGAGAGCTAGGCTACCAGCCTGGCCGCCCGGGTCACCCTATTTTTCCGGGCGGCCCGGCCGTGCAAGGACGAGAGAAGGTCCCAGCCCAAAAAAAAAAAGAAAACAAAAAAATCCGAAAAAGCACTATGTTTTGCAGAAAAATAAACTGAACAACTTTTGCCTCAGGGTCGCGTCGAAATTCTTTAGCAAATTGCAAATAAAAATTGAATAAAAGGTAATTTTTACTCTTCTTTTTCTTTTTTTTTTTTGGCCGCGCCGGGCAAGTGGACCCGGGCCACTCTGGTGGCCTATAGCTGGAGAGGGTTTTTGCTACGAATATGGCAGGCCAAATTCTTCGCATGTGTTTGTTTTTGTGGCTTTTCTTTCGAAGTCCGATGGTAGTAGCGCATGGCATTTTGAGGGGAGAGAGAGAGAGAGAGAGAGATTTGCTGCAGTTCCCACACACGTTCCCCTTACGCAGGTAAGGATGCTGGGCCCGAGATCAATAAAAAGGATCTGAAAAGGTTTAAAAAAAAAAAGAGGAACCCTGTGAGAGAAACCCTCGACTTAACAAATGCTGAGCCCTCATTTCTTTTTGCTGCTCAAATGGGGGTACAAAATCCCAAGCCAATCGAATCGCCGATGTTCTTTTTACCTTGTTTTCCTGGAGATCGTTTGTAATTTTGTGTATTTAAATTTGTTTCAAAATTCAATATGTATCATACTTGCAAGCGGACGCTGTCCGGGCGGTTCCGCACGTGCGGCAGTCCGCCGGACCGGACCTGCGCGGCGCACGAATGTGCGCCCGACAACCAGTTACGCTCCACCCCAATAAAAAAAAAAAAAATGGCCCTGTCCGGTCCGGTCCGGGTCCATCTGGTCCGGGGGGAGGGTGCCACACGCGGCAAAGCGGACCGGACCGGACGCTTGTCCGGTCCGTCTGCTTGCAAGTATGATATGTATGGTTCTACTAAATTTGGCAAGAAATGTAATGGCTACCAGAGTGGCCCGGGACCACTTGCCCAGCCGGGCAAAAAAGAAATAAAAAGAAATAAACACAAAAATCATACTTTCTAACTTCGTTTTTTATTTTAAATTCGGTAAAGAATGTCGATGTGCCCCTGAGGTAAAAGTTGTTCAGCTTATTTTTTTGCATARCATATTTTTTCTCAATTTTTTTTTTTTTTTTTTAATGTTTTGCTGGGACATCTTTTGGCCCTCGCTCGCCCGGGTTGCCTGGGCAAACAAGGTGACCCCGGGCGGCCCGGCTGGTAGGGTAGCCTAGATGGCTTTACTTCTTAAGTCAGGTTGTTTCTTAGTGGCGCGCATGAACTGGGCCGACTCCGGGGGTCGGTCCAGGCCCCAGGGTCACAGGCCGCCCAAGAACAACTGTCATTTTTTTTTTTTTTAACATTTGTTAAGAAATTAACCATCTCTGGAAACCGCTCAGATTGTTTCTTAAAACAAAACAAAAAAAAAAGAGTGTGCCCGTTCCTGCTTGAGCCTCCAACTACTAGTACAGTCTTCCGCCGAGCACAACGCCCTTCTACCTTCTCTTGAATAGTGCACATGGTCATTATAAATAATTTATAATTTATAACTGTATTTGGGGCAACTTCATCTTCTGCGCGGGGGAAGAGGGTAGCATCATTTTTTTTCTGTATTTGGATCAGAACAGGGGTTGTATACATTCATGAAGGAGGGGCGTTATGTTCTCAGGGGCAGGCAGGAATGGGGAGTGTCGCCTGCTGGCACACTGGGAACCCCACACCGACTCGAGGCAGGTCCTTATTCGCGGGGGGCGTTCATTCTGGACCCAGGTTCAGTGAATTTATTCTGTTACAACTAACAACTTCATTGGATCTGTGTTTTGCGATTCAACGTCAGCTTCAATGAATGTATCGTGCGTGTTTGTGATTCAAAGCCAGGTTCAGTGAACTTACTCTGGTTGTGATTCAGGCTGCCATGATAGAAAATCGCATCTCTTTCCAACGGATTGAATGCTCAGCGGGTTTTGCATGTTTCTGTTCGTTTTTTTTTTTTCCTGGGGGCGGGGGGTGCGCGGGCATGTGGGGGTGTTGAGGGGGTTTAGATGGGGGTGGAGGAAGCTTTGCGTGATTTTAATAATGTGCATTGTAGACCACTAAAGATGAAACGTCGCCAACTCTCGATTCATCTTTTTTTTGAAGTTTTTCGTCTTAAAAAAAGAAGAAAAATCCCAGCTCGCCTCTGGAATCAGTGGAAGCCAATTAAATTTGGTTTCTCATTTCCGAAAACAAAAACAGGAGAAAATATAAATTATTCTGAGCACTTTGGTCATCCAAACCGGGGGGGAGGTCGGGAATGCCAATTCATCATGGTCCAGGGGTTGGGGGATTTGCAGTATGCTATCATGATCTGTCGTATAGAACACAGGATCATTATATATGCATGTACTGGGGCACTGTTTTAGGTCACATTACAAGATTATGATTTTTTTTTATTTTTTTTTTTCAATCTTCAACCTGGAGGAATAGGCCGACGAGGGTAACGTCAGTCAGCCAGCTCTACCCTATTGCAGTTTCCAACTTTCCACTAATTGGGGGCGATACATTGTTGGGCATGTTCCAATCAGTATCATGTGACCGTTTCAGTGAAACAATTTACTCTTCACAATAAACTTGCCCAACCAAGAAATGACACAATAGTGAGGATTCGACTGTCAAGATAGGTTGGGTGGTCGGACGATGGGGAGCTTCCCTCCTCTTCCCCTTCCACGGGCGAAGAGGGGTTTGGGGGGGGTTTGACGG